ATCTATTTTGCCTAAAGATGATTTTAGTGCTCTTTATGTTCCCCTAAATGACAAACCAATTTGTTACCTGCCTACATAAACATTTGCCTGTATTAGCCCCAGAAATGTTTTATTTTTATTAGCCCAAACTTTATCTTTTTATGAAGACACAGGGGCCCAATAAAATTAGTGTGCAAATATAATACCCAATTTGCATTTTTCCATGGTCAGCAGAAAAGCTAAGTAAAATCAATTTGATATTAGGTCAGCATATACATCAATAAAGCATACGCTCACACAGGACCATTGTAATGGTCCTTGTAATTTCTATGCTGCCAGAGTAAAGAGATTAAATAATATTAAATGCTCCAAAATAGCTTTGCTTTTAAGGGGAATGTAAAAAGAAAAAGAGAGTTTGGCATAAAACGGGCAATAAAGGATAATAGTTGCACAATCTCCAACTTTAAAACATTGTGACAATGATCTCAGAGGCAGGCTTCCTGCAAGACAGCCCCAGTTCAGCCAAAATTATGTTTAAGCACATTTTTGAGTACAATACAAGTCCGTCAAACAAATCATGTATTTAAGCACCTGATAGAGTCAGGGACAGAGCCTGAATGAAAATCTGGAACTTGAAAGGTTTTGGATCCAGTTTTGAGCACTACATGCAGGACTATGCTGGATAGATGATCCATGCACAAGTGAGGCTTTGCTAAAGAAAAACCCTCTGTGCTCCAGACAGGACTGGCTGAACGTGGTGGCAGGTGAGGAGAGTCAGTGAGCAATGAGGGTCCCGTGTAACAGTGCAACCCCATCATGGGAGCCAAGATACTGCTACCTCCCATTTCAGGTGAAAGTACATAGGAATAGGTGTCTGACTTCCAAAACCAGTAGTCCAGTCTTTGCTCATCGCTCTGGGGTACAAACAGCATCATTTTGACCTTCTGTCTCAGCTTCTTTGTACTGCTCAAGCCAACCATAAGAAGACAAGAAAGAAAAGCTTGTGTGTATCTCACCTCAGCAAGTCCGGTGGGATTTGATAGTGATCAAAAACGTTGTTGTTTTGCACTCTCGTGTTGCTGAGATGTGTGCTCTTACCCAAAATGACGTTTGTGGCCAGAAGTAACAAAAATAAATGGGATTAGGTGCTGATCTGGTCTCTTAGGAAAAAACCAGAGCACGGTAAATGCTGCTTGGATTTGATTTGCTAAAGCAGTGTAATGTGGTAGAGATGAGGCACTTGGGGCAGCACTGACATCGGTGTTCGCTTTTGACGCAGATGTCACGGTTCTGTTGGGCACAGCCAAACTGAGGTGGCACAGTCAGGTGTGAAGCAACAGAGCTGGTTTGATTTCCTCGGTGGAGTCTTGAACTCACAGGGCTTTGATTATAAAATGCTGGTAACAGCCCACCTCATACTGCAAAGTACCTGAGAAAGGAAGACAATAATGGAATTCATTTGCAATGGATACACGTATTTCATTAAAATATACGTAGGTATTCAAATCAAATGGTTATTTGGCCATATGTTTTTAGGGTGATGGATTTCCATTTCTTCTGATTGGAGCCTTCTGGTCTTCTACAGATGACAAGGTTTTTCTAAGTGACTTGCCTCAACTTTGAAGTCCTCTACAAAGCAGAGAAATTCACTTCTAAGTTCTCCTGATGGACACCAGTCTAAGGGCTTTCTGAAACAGAATTCTAGGGTTGGACTTGCTCATCCTTTGTACTCCATCAGCCTTAGTGCTAATTTGTGAATTTGAATAGTTAGCACACCATGGCTACAAGACCTAAAGAAACCACAAATCTGCTGTCCATTTCTGGTCTGATATGGCAGTAGAAAAGATCCTGGATGTCAGGTGAAGTCCTACCTTGATTCTGTTACAGTACTTCATTTTGGCAGGGCAAATGGAATTCCATAAAATGGATTGAAATAGCTTGAAATTTTTAGATACTTATTATTAAGCTGCTACATACAAATACTGTCATTTTCATGTTTTTATAGTAGCATAAAAATGAAAATTGAATGAAAATGGATAAGTGAATTTGCTGCCTTCCCATGAAGGTTTAGAATTTTATCAGACTGTCTTTTTTATTAAGTAGAAAATGTTTTCTGTGCAACCCTGTTTTAGTTGCAGTAGTGTAATGTGTAACCAGGAGTGGCAATTGTTGTTTCCTGGTTGAAAGGTGGGGAAGTGTTGCCAGTGGGATTGCTTTAAGTGACTGGCTTGTACATGCTGCAGTATTAGAGGGTGAGGAACATGAGTTGAGGGCCAAACAGAGTGAGTGATATTCAGAGTGAGAGATTTGAGCTGCTTGCCTGCAATTAATTGAGTTTCTTTTCCTTGTGACATTTGCTAGGTGTTTATCACCGCTGTGGTAACTTGATAGCCAGAATAGATGTTGAGGTTAACGTTGTTTGTTCTGACTAGCACCTTAGATCCTCACAGCTTTGCCCAAGGGAATTCTCCTCTGCAGCAGAGAGACAGGATGGCAGTGGGTGAGTAGCAGGATACATGAGGGTGTAACACACAGTGGCAGATTGTTTAGGTCCAGTCATAAGTCAAGGCAAATATTATCAATTATGATGGTAGTGGTAGCCTTCAAAGGGAAAAGAAAATGTTTATTTCAATCTTCAAGATACTTTCCAGAAGAGAAAATAAAAAAAAGAAACAATTCCAGGCACATGTCTATATTTCTTTCCTTAGAATACTGGTTTTGTCAAATAGTTTTGTTTCTGAAATTCACTGCTGTGGCATTTAGAAGGGTAGAAGTGGTACCACAACAGACTATTTCTCTGTGTTTCCACAACTCTCAAAGTTGTGGCTAAATGGACTGTGCTTTTCTGTCATTTTGCTTGAGTGCTTTTGGCATCTACTAAGCAAAGCTATACACTTCTAATCATCTTAATTTTGATTGATCTTTTAAATCCTGAAGTAGAAAATAGGATGCATTTTCAATGTAACATTTAAATTAAAATATGAAATGGTGTTTTGTAGTTGTTTAGTGTGTTAATTTTGGCCAGCAGCCAGATGCCCAGCCAGATGGTCTCTCTTATCCAGGACAAGGTGAGAAAAATAAGATGGAAAGGCTCACGGGTCATGATAAAAACAGGGATATCACTAACTAATGACCATCATGGACAAAGCAGACTTGACTTCTGGGAAATGTAATTTATTGCCAATTAAAATAGACTTATATAGTGAGAATTATTGAATATAATGATGATTGTAATAACTGTTATGAAGCACAAATAAAAACAATATTGTAACTGAAGACAAAGCCACAAAACACCCCAAACTAACCCTCTGTCCAGAAAATTCCCTAACCAGGGTGCCATTCCAGACCCAAAGAGTGGTAGTCGGGCTGCTGAGCACCATATTCATGCTGAGCCACAGTTCCTTTAATCTAATACTGGTTTTCCAAGAGGGGAGGAAAACTCCTCTCCTCCTGCAAAAGTGATCCCAGACTTTTGCTTTTGTTTTCTAAAGTTGTTTTGCTGATTTTTCTCCTTCCTTCCACACTTGATGTTAATGCAAATGATGTGGGATGGTCATTGACTCCTAGAAGACAGTGTTGTTTTCCTTTTTGCTGCCTCCCCCTTTTCTTCTGCAGACAGAATTGACCCCACCAGCTGCTAGGTTTCTCAGAGACATTCTTTCTTATATTTTTTTTTACTTCTGGGACTGAAAAACACTAGAGAATGGTGAAGCTGGTGTATGAAAGAACAAATGAATGGCTGAGTTACAGGCAGAGCAGCTGTAGGACCTCTAGAGATGCTAAGGAAATTAAAGGAGAAACCAGTGATTGTCTCCTGAGAACAACAAAAAATGTATTGATTATTTCTGTGGTGCTGTTAGGTGTGATGTACCCTTGGGAAAACTGAGCATTTCTAAGAATTAAAAAATTAGCTCAGTTATGCTCTAAGGACTCTCAAACATCTTTGAAAATAAAAGTCTAACGTTGGATATATATCCAATGCATCTACATAATCGGAATTGAGGGGAAAAAAAAAGAAAGCTTGGATTTAGTTCCCAGTCTCTTTACAGTGTGTAAACTTTTTACTGCAAAACAAAGATTTAAACTGTCTCTAGCAATTGGAGCCTGCTTAGCATTACCCCTGCTGTGTGTGTTCAGGTTGAGATAAGACATCTAACTGAAGTCCTGACCTCTTATAGTCGTTAAAATTCCCAGAACCCATTTTGAAAGAGCATCGTTTTATTTCCTGTTTATTAAATGCAGTCACAGCATCTCTCACAGAGAAAAGATGCTGCTTGACCCATGTAGTTTAAGGCTGAAGGAAGTGGCCAAAGTGTTGTGGTTTCAGTACTTAGGGATTAACCCATATTAAATTCAGTATAGTTGGGATCTAAATCTCCCTTCCACCTACCTGTAATTTGATGGGGACATGGCACATTTTTGTGCCGTCACTGGAGAAGGTTGCTGGATTTAATCCTGGCCTGTTTTCCATACGTTATTTATTTTTGAACTTTTCTTTCAGTCAGGGCAGATGCAGTCCCAAATAGTTACCAGATTTTTGAAAAATAGCCTCCAAATCCTCCAGAGCAAAGCCTAATAAATGTAATTTGTAGCACTTTACTGTTGCTTGGCGCTGTTAAGGCTCGTACGAAGTGTAATGCAGGGTGCAATGGGCTTTACCTTCTGACTGGACTCCCACAGCTATTCCTGTGGCCCCAAGGGGACATTTATCACAAGTGAGAGCAGTTAAACTCGCTGTAGTAAATCTTGGTTTTTAAAAAGAGAGCCAGATGTGTTGTTTCAGGTTTGGCTCCATGTCATTAGTTTTGCAGCCCGTGTGCACTTTGCAGTATGGCCTGGCATGGAGACCTGGTGTCTCTGCCTCTTTCGGTTACAGACTGTGCCTATTTATAACATATGAGAAATTTTAATGAAAGGGTGTGCTTTGAAAATTAACAGTCCTTTGTTGCTATATCTGGGTCTGAGTTTAAGGATCTTTATTTCTCCTTTTCCCCTCTGCCCCCTGCCCTCTTCTTCTGCAGCAAACCTGCGTCCAGGGGCTGAACAGAAAGTGGTGTTCATCACTGCACGGGTCCATCCAGGGGAAACACCATCTTCCTTCGTCTGCCAAGGTGAGTGTCTGCACAGAGGTGGCAGATCTGGTGGGATCTGCTTTCCAATTGATGCATGCATTTGATTTGGATAGCTTTGACTGTGATAGAAGGCTGAGCTCACATGACAGATTTTCCCATAGTGAAATGAAGTACTAGACTTTTTAACCTTTTGTAACTGAAGTATAGTTAACTTCTAACCTCTTAGAAATAAAGCATACATCAGGAATTATTTTTGGGACCAACAATAATCACGTGACGGACCTAATGTCAAAGTGATGTATCCAATATTGCACTTCAAACACCAGATACAGGAACTGAACTGGTATAAACTGGACTAGTGGTCTGGCTATTAACAGAGATGGCAGAGAGCATGCACAACAGGGGAAGTTCAGGAGTTTAACCAAGGGGAAGACTTAGAGCCTTCATCTGAAGACCCTATGGGTGATAACACGTGTGCACAAGGAGGCAGAAACCATGTAAATGAGTTCTGGGAAATAATTAGCTTAAACCTGCCCAATCCATGAAATATAATGAATATATATACTGTGAGTGAATATAATATGCACACGTTAGGAGGAGACTTCCCCCGTGCTGCCTGGTGCCGCAGCAAGGAATACCTGCTTCATGGCACTTGGTGGTCATTGAGCGTCTTCGCTTCAACAGTGAGGGTACTGGCAAAATCTCTCATCTAATACCCAGCTGCTTGTCTTTTTTTGAGGTAGTAGGAATAGACTATGTCCAAGTCTTGTGAGTGTCTGCTGAACTCGGTCAGAATTGGGCTCTGACACTATTTGGGAAGAATTGACACAATGTGATCACGCAAGGCTCCTTTTCTTAGGAAAACGGGCTGGAAAAGCTCTGGGATTGGCTCTGTGTTAATTCTTCATGCTTTTTTGCTGGCTTCTAATTCCAGCTTCTTTTCCACCACAAAGCAGTGACCCTAGTTCTCCAACAGAATTCCAAGAGGCCTCTCTTTGTCTGAAGCTGCTGCTCTGAGGAGCGCAGCTCCCAGTGGCTGGCAGCTGTTTGCCGCACAGAGCATTCCTGCTAAAAATAGAAAGCAAAATGCCCAGCTTGTGTTCATAAAGAGTTGTAAATCTCAGGCTTGTGGGTACAAATAAATAAATAACCCTGGCACGCATTGACATAACTTCATTGTATAGGTCTGAAATGCTGTACTTATTTATGGATGTGGCTGTCTGCAGTGGTCAGGTGTTGATGGAGTAAATCAACAAGGGCAGGGGCAATTTGCTAATTCACTGCAGCAGCTTGAACCGGGCCCTGCTGAGCCGATGAGTTGCATCAATCAAGCACATGCAGAATTTATTACATTGTCTGCTCATAGTGCCACAGACTGGTTTGCCACTGGCCCTGTTGGTACCTAAAGACCTCGGTGGGAAAGGTCTGGCACAGGTTCGTGGTCTTCTCCGTGTGCTCCTCATCCTGGCAAGGTCCTGTGTCTGGCACCTCTCTGAGGCAAAAGGTCAACAGCTGTCACTTCTGCTGCCCTGGCCCCGTGGGCTAGCAGGACACTCAGCCTCTTTCTTGTTGGCCTGTGGAGTAGCAAAGGTAAAACCCTTCCTTTAGTAAAACAATGCTTCAGACTGAGAGCGGGGAAACTCAATGAGTTTCCCATCTCCTGCGGTGCCATAGTCAATGCAGGGCATTATGGCACACATGATGTTTGCTAATGAATATGGATTTTTAATTGGCTGCTTTGATTCTGTTTGTGGCTGCTGGCATAGCCCTGTGAAATGAAAGCTGAGGCGTGCTGCTGAGGTGGTACTTTGTAAATGATGTTATTTTATTTTGATAATGGAGAGTTTATTCAAAAGGGAAATAAAAAAAAAGGGAATGTGTAAAAGCAGGTGGCATGCTTAGCCTGATGAAACAACTAGATAGAAGTCATGCTCTGATTGTCGCAGAGAAACTTTGTGTTTTATAGGGAAAAAACACCCCAAACAAAACAAAAAGAGAGCGGGAAAGATAAGAAAAATTAATAGGGAGGTATCAGTCTTGGAGAAGCTCATCAGAAACTTGCTGTGGCTGCAGTTATAAGGCATGCTTGACTCGTTTGGAAATGCATGGATCCACAGGCACTGAACTCTGCAGGGCACTGAGCCATTCTGCCCAGTGCAGACCAAGCTACCTTGTGTGCATAATCAGTGTCAAGACAAGTAGAAATGTCAGCCATTTCAAGGCCATTGCAGCATCGTTTCTAGCACTGCCAAATGTGAAATTGGGTGCTTGCTCCATCTTTGGAAACTTCTATGTGGGAGAGTCAAAAGAAGGGATAAAAAACCATTCGTTTGGCAGTCAAGTGAGGGCACACTTAGGGATTTTATTTCTGGAGTCTTGGGAAGCTTTTTGGCATATATAGGTGTTGCAGATTTTATATCCAGATGCCAGCTCAGTGCATATGGAACATGTCAGGCTTTTTTTTTTTTTATTAGTGGAGAGATTTCTTCTTGTATGTTTGATAATGCTCACCATCTGAAGTATTAAGATATGGAAACTAATCCCAAAGATTCCCCAGAAACAAGCAGCATCTCACATTTGGAAGAGCAGAACTGTGACTGCCCAGGCCAGGAGAATCAGTCCATAGGGGAATAGATAATGAGTTACAAGCTTTATTTACTTTTCTTGTTCTTCATTTTTTTCCATTTTGATGTTGGATTGTATTCAGTTCAGGCTCTGTCTTCCCCTTTAAAGCCCTTAGATAATAACTGACTCCTTACTCGTTTTTCTATCTGTCTTTGAGGTAGCCAGGTCTCTTCCTGACCTCTTTAGCCTTCTCTCTGCCAAGGGATATAAAGCTGTGTAGTCCAAACACCAGCTTCCTGGGGCCTGACAGAAGCTACCTGTTACATTCTCCATTTTTTTGATTAGGCAAGGTCCCTGAGAAGCAGGTTGTCTTGCCTTAATACATCAGGATATGCTTGGTCCTGTCTACTGGTCCTCTGTCCTCCACTTTTCCCACATATCATAAACCTAGGCAAGGATCTTTGTGTTACTTTAGGAAAAAAATGTAAGGTCGTCTCCCCGTTCAGAGCTGTATTGTTTCTGTGTCGTCCTTCTTCATGTTCCACTATGAAGAATCCACTGAAAACTGAATTTTGGATACAAGTACCCTGCATTCCTACAAACGTGCAAGTGTTATAAACTTGGATACACATTTTTGTCTCCTTCCAGCTGTGGAGTGCTTGCAGCAGTAGCCAGACTTCCCTAGAATCATCAGGCACCTCACTCAGCAGTTAAAAACAAGTGCTGTAATATTTCACACATAGTGCAGCTGCTGAGCTGTAGTTCAGTTCCTTAAAAGGCAGACAAAACACTGGAGGGCCTCTTCATAAAAAGATGGATTAAGAACCTTTTGTTTCCATTTTGGTCTTTTATGAGTTATTACAATGCTTCAGGTTAGCCTTTTTAGGAAGTTTTCCTGATGGTTCTTAAGTTGTTGTGAAGTTCAGGGACAGAAATGGAGAGTCAATCACCAGAGAGTATATTCCCATAAGTACCCTTCATATCCAAAGGTAGGATGGTGTTTCTACTCCTCACACAGTGATGGTCATCATGAGCAGTGATGCTTGTTTCACTTTTGGGGATGAATAAGCAGGAGTAGATAAAGAGGATTTGTTTTCACTTTCCTCTTATAGACCGTTTTCTAACTGGTCTATAATCACTGCTGCTCCTGGAGGGCTTTTATAGTCAGCACAAAGTAGTGCAAAAATTCATCTTACAGCTTGAACTCATTTCTCATGGACTGTTCAGATTTCTGAGGGATTTTTCTCAACTTGTGGTTTTAAATTCTTTTCCTTTTTTTTCAGATATTTCCCCTCATTTTTCTTCCCCACAGTATCTTTATTTAAGAAAATGTATACTATTTTCTCTTCCACTCTGTGCTGTTAAGGCAAGTAAACCTACTCTTACAGGTAGGGTCAAATGTCAGGTAATACCTATAAATGTATGTAGTGTGCACCAATATGTGTGTATAAAATCTGTGCAGGCCCCTACCCTCTAAACACTGATCATAAACCAGCTTTCAAAAGGCTTGGATTTTATCCAAGTATTCCCCCCACCTTCTTACCCTCAATGTTCTTATAGTCTTATTTTCCTTCCTGAGGTTGCTAGATCTTATCCTTTTTTTCGTGGTAGAAAAGCAACTGTCCCTCACTATTCATGTGCTTGTAAAGTTGTAGAAGACACTGTGACTACTATGTTTAAGTTTATCCTTTATGCTTTAGCTTTTGCCAGCAGTCAGTAATAGCAAGCTTAAGCATGTCTAGATGTACCAAGACAGGTACTTCACTCATTGATTTAACATAATCTGTTAGTAGGATGTCATTTGTTGTCTTTTTAACACATTTGCCAATGTTGCATTCGCCATGGCATGTAAATGCAAAAATGCAAATTTGTACCCTAAGCCTCTAATATCATTTTCCAGGCTGGGAGCCCAGAATGGAAGACCCAGTGCAAGACAGGAGGGAGAGGGATCCCACAGCTGGGTTTGCAGATGCTGAGCATCTCATGCTAAGTGTAATTTGACCTGGAGCTGACCTTGAAGCTTACGGGCTCAATAGGGAACAGCCATTAAAGGAAAATATAAGGAAAATAGACACCTGGGACTCTTATCCATAAGAAATGGAGCAAAAGTTACTTTTCAATCAATCTTCTTTCTTTATAGCTGCTTAAACGTATGCTTCTCCTTGCTTCACCTCGAATCAGATAATATGAAATGAAGAAATAGACTGCACTGGGCAATCTCTTACTTTTCTGTTTACATTCTTGGTCTGTGTTTTTAACTCCCATCCTCTTGCCAGAGGGCAGGAAAAAAGAATCTGAAAACCTTTGTACAAACTTTGATTCTACGTTTAAAGAATGGAGTAGAAGGGGACAAACTCGCTGAAAGCAAGGCTCCACCAGCTGTCTCCTGAGTCCTGTTGTTCTAGCTCACTGAGCTAGTGGTTAACTGAACTTGCTCTCTGTGTGACCCAGGTGCTCCAGGTGCTATGAAGGAT